TTTTTTTTTTTGCGGTAAAAACCTCTTAAAAGTCAATACTTTTTCTGTATACCTTTTTTTTTCGGTTGAATGAGTAAATAAAGCAACTTTATGTTTGATAAAATTTTGACTGATCAGTTGAAAACAAACCATAGTATATCAACCACAGTTAATCTTTCTGGTCACTTCTGCCCGCAAGCAAATTTGATTGCTGCTTTTGAAATTTCTACTGGTCTTTTTTTTCAGCCCCGATCCAATATTAAGCGCCTTTAGACTGAGTTGGGAACTTCAAAAGCTCTCAAAAATTGAGCACGAATTTATGGACCGTTATGTTCAGGTTAATTTAGCCAGACAACAAATTGTTGGAGTAACTTTCTTTTTTTAACATAATACACTATGAAGTATAAAAATAACCAACAATTAACCATCTGATCGCAATTCATTTGCAAAATTTGCACTGAAATATAACACCAAACATTACATTGTCTGGACCTCAATTTAAGAATATTCAAAAGAGAAGTTCTTTTGTTGGGCTCTTTTTCTATGATAAGGGTTGGAAGGAAATAGTAAGAAATGCAATTTAGCTATCAGAACAATGTACTCAGTATGCATGCGATTTGTTGGAACAGTGTCGAAGCACAGAGGAAGTAATTGGTGTTTTGAACAAAGATCAGTCACAAAGCAGTCAAAACGAAGATGTTTGGTCATCAAAGCTAAGTTTATCACGACTTAAGCTTGCTATCAAGTATGTACAAAAAAAGGTAAATGAGAAGTTTTATACGGCAAAAAGTGACTAAAAATGATTATAAAATATTAATTTTCCAGTAAATTTCTGTCAATGCGTTGACCAAACTACTAGAGTTTAATTGAACAGGCTGTTTGCAATAACAAAAGTTAATCATTAATGTAGAAGCTATAAATGATTGCAGTTTGTAGCACATCCTCATTGTCAACAATTGTTAACATCAATCTGGTACGAAGGATTTCCAGGTTGGAAACAACGTGGATCTATATGGAACAATTTTATTTGTCTATTACTTATTATACTCTGGCCTGTTCTTGCTGTATGTTATATTTTGGTGAGCAACTTCTGCGTTATTAATTAACAACTAAAAGCTTTTTAGTTTCCGCGGGTCACAGTATGTTCGGCTAACCTTTTTTAAATGTGTACATCTTTTTAGGTGCCTAAGAGTCGAATAGGTGGAATAGTAAGATCACCGTTTATGAAATTTTTGTACTATGCAATATCATTTGGGTGCTTTTTGGCTTTGTTAACATTGGCTACATTTGAATCATATCGTTACGAGAAAGGTGAGGTAAAAGGCGGAGGTAAAACTCGAGCATCAGATCGTGGTCCTCAGCCGACGGTTATCGAAACATTAGTTCTTATATGGGTATTTGGTACGTTTCATGTGCACCAAATATTTTATTTAGCCTTATTTACTGGTACTTGTTATTTGCCAGAAAACGACTAGTGCCCACGGTAGTGACACATTTAATGGTTAAAATATTAAGCAAATATCTTAATACTTGATTCAGAACACATTTTTCAATTACAATACAAACTATAGTTGATGAAGGCAGCAAAAAAACCTTTTTTGCTTATTTGAAAGTCCTGATTATAAAATTCAGCAAAAAAATTGTAGCTGTATTGTACTCCAGGAATGCTGTGGTCGGAAGTTAAGCAATTGTGGGATGAGGGTTTAAAGCGATATATAAAACAATGGTGGAACTGGCTTGATTTTATTATGATGTGCCTGTATCTTAGTACTATTTCAGTTAGGTAATTGAAAGTTATAGTTAAAAACTTGCTTTTGCCGTTTCTTATAAACATTTACAGATGTCGAATTACAGTTAATATTTTTATAGGGCAAGCGCATACTACATCTACAGTTATACCGACGACGCCACAGTTGAGAGGTACGCTACTCGAACCGTATGGGATCCGTATGAACCTGTTTTGGTCGCTGAAGCATTGTTTGCTGTTGGAAACATTTTTAGTTTTGCTCGTATTAACTATTTATTTCAAACAAACCCCTATCTTGGACCACTTCAGGTCTGTCAAATAACCCATTTTTTTTACAATTTACTGAAATATTTTTTTTAATCTTACCGAGTTCGTCAATTTTAGTGCAGAAACTTTCTTGGTTACTTTAGATTTCACTGGGCAGTATGCTTGTCGACGTTGCAAAATTTTGCTTCATATTTGTCTTGATCATTAGTAGCTTTTCAATTGGTCTTGCTCAACTTTACTGGTATTATGCACCCTATCAGGCGGTAACACATAATAGTTGTCCACAGGAACAAAATACTTTTTCGAGGTAATATCCAGTGTCAAAAAACAGCACCACTTTGCTGCAGTAATCTTGAACAGTAATTTTCATTAGTACTGAGTAGTTTGTGATTAAGGAGCTACTTTACTGCTTAATTTGACAAAAAATGCAAATGTACATCAACATTTTAATAAAGTGTTTTGTTCACATATGAGTTACACTGCCAAGAGCTAAATGGTAAATCGGTTTTTAGTATTGCGCATTCTTATATCACTCTTCTTTGGTCGCTTTTCTCGATTACCAAAGTTGAGGATACAGAAGTGGTAGAAAATCATTCATTAACTGAATCTGTTGGAAGTGGAATGTTTCTGACGTATCATATGATAGCGATCATCGTCTTGCTGAATATGCTCATCGCTATGATGTCACACTCATTTCAGCAGATTAATGTAAGTTTTATCCGTCGAACATGACAATTACCGATTGTATCGTTATTGTTAGCGTGAAAAGTCATAGTTGAAGAACATAATTCTTAAGGATGCAGCCGATTTGGAATGGAAATTTCATCGTACAAAATTATGGATGGCATATTTTGACGAAGGTTCAAGTCTTCCGCCACCATTTAATTTAATTATAACACCAAAATCGATCTACTACTTCATTATTTTTATGTGTAATACAGTTAGATGGCTTTTCGGCAAGTATAACTACACAAATCACCTGAAAAGAGGAACAATTCGGGTAAAAATAGTAGTTGATCAGAACTGTCAAAAAATTTATTGCAACTTTTTTGTAAAAGCATTTTTTTTTTATTAATATTTCAATCCTTGTTAGACAGCTCCTGTTACCAGTAGTGTTTTTAAAAGCTTCACAAACTTAAGAGATCATACTTTTATAATAAATGTAAAAAGTTTAAAAGTATCTGATTCCAGCGGCCAGGTTATAGTCGAAAAGTGAAAGAAAAGACTTATGAAGACAGTATTTTATACGGGCAACAACGGCTTACCTATGCAGATATCATTAGACGGTCTCTCTGTTTTTTTCTTTCTTTTTTTCTCTTTTTTTTTCTTGAGAAGGGGATTGATCAAACAATTGAATCACATTTCAATAAAAACAAAAATATTTAAAAATAATCGCTAAAACCATTAATATGAATTAGATTTTATGGCGAAATACTGCAGTAGTTGAAAAACTACAACACTCGTAGAAATTTAACTGTCTTACTGTATTCAGATTGGTTTCACGGTTTATACATCAAACGAAAAAAGTTATCAAAACAGACGGAGTTACCGAAGATGATTTACTTGAAATTAAGCAAGAAATACGGAGTTTACGGTATGCCTTAAATATACTATTTTACAGCAAAAAATTCTTTATCTCTTAACACCAATTACACCAGCGGCTGTCGTACTTGTTGGCAAAATACTGATTTGTAGCTACGAATTGCGCGATGATCGTCAGAAAGAAACAGTAAGGTCGTCCAGTCATATTGACGCTATCAAGCGGGACATCATAAGACGGATGTCATCTAGCGTATTCTCCAAAAGATCTCGATGTAGCACCAATGACTTAGACAGCTCAGCAGAGGAAGACGAAGTGCCTGACAGCTATGATGATCCTGACACCAATTTCAAGTTCTTTTTTACTACATTCTTATTTTATGGTTCTTGTAAATTGAGTTTTCATTTCTTGTTTCCAAAAAGAAAAAAACAGTAACAAGTATAAAAAGTATAAAAAGTGTAGCCCATAATTTTTTTACTTTGGGACCCATTTTTTTTATTACAGAACTGAAGCATCTTCTGCAGAAGAAGATGAACCATCTTCAAACGAACAAGAACAAAAAAATTTTAGTGATTTTCACAGATGTTCGTATACCGCTGTAACCAGCAGTCAGTCGCAGTTATATCAGCCAGCTGGAGAATCGGCTGATTACGGTCAGTACTTTGAAAATAGATCCTGTAAATTTATAGTTACAAAGCACAGTAGTTTTGACAGTCAGGGTCGCTAACTAGACCACAAATGAGATAG